TCTTCTGTAAAAGTGCAAGGTATTGAGGAGCTGGTGACTATTTCAACTGTGAAGTGTAGTTTAGAATCTACTAGGAAGGGCAACCCATTTGGGACCCCTCTGTCTCCTAGGGCCTGTTCCTATTCCCTATTCCTGTTCCCCAATCATTTTTCCTACTCTTAAAAAAAAAATCTATTAGGAAATTCAATTACCTAAGTTTATAATTGGCATTCATTTTTAGAAGAATTTAATCTGTCGAACTTATGAGTTAATTAAATATTAATCAAAGAATAGTGAAAGCAATTGTTCTTATTTGTATAAAAAAATTAGTAGATTTATAAATAGAAAACTAAATTTCCAAGTTGCTCTTGGATGTTTAAGAAAAACTAGCTGCTTTTAAATTTACACGTTTAATAAACACAGCATTAATTTAAACACAGGCAGCAGTAGGTAGCTTCTTTCTGCATGAAAGCCCCTCTTCAGTATTAAAATTTCTCAGCTGACAACACCATGCGGCAGCCCAGAGACTTCCAGGCCCACAGTGCCCTACACATCCCTTCAGAACACGGCTGATGTCACTTTTTCCAGCAGGCCCATGAAGACATCCTCTCTAGCCTGGGTAAGATCCTGCCCAGAATTGCCATGCCCTTGGCCCAGGCCCCCGACACACCAGGCCATGGAGGATTGTGGGCTGGAGCACTGTCTCTCCTGGCGTTGTGTAAGAACAGCGTGGAGTTCCAGCAGAAAGAAAGGGGAGAAGCAGGTACTGCATGCACATCGCGGGAGGAGATGCCAGCGTGTCCAGTGTTCTTTTTTGGGGGGGTACTGACAATCGAACTCAGGCCCTTGTGCTTGCAAGGCAGGTGCTGTGCCACTGAGCTATATCCCCAGCCCCTGCCCAGGGTTCTTTGGCAGCTGGGCCTGTAGGTCTTGGGTGAAAGGCCACCTCCTGGTTAGGCAGCAAGACTTTTTCTGGTTGGGACCCAGGCTTCTCTCCATATCCCCTGCCTCCTGACCTTGCCAGGAAGGGTATGGAAGGCAGAATGAAGTCCTGCCAAATGTCCACATCCTAAACCTTGGATATGGGGGGGGGTGGTTATTGTTGCTGTTATTTTAATGTTTTTGTTTTGTGGTGCTTGGGATCAAACCCAGCCTTGGGGTTTGTGCATGCAAGGCAAGAATTCTACCACTGAGACACAGCCCCAGTCCTGCACATGTCATTTTGCCTGGCAAAGGGGTATTCAATTTGCAAACTGGATGGACTTTTTTTTTTTTTTGAGACAGGGTCTCACATCGGTAGCCCAGGCTGGTCTCGAACTCTTGGCGATCCTCCTGCCTCACCCTCCTGGATTACAGGTTGGGATTACAGGTATGTGCCACCACACCCAGCCTACACAGTGAGTTGAAAGCCAGACTGAACTGCATAGCAAGACCCTGTTTAAAAAAAAAAAAAAGTCCAGCTGGGTATGGTGGCACACGCTTGTAATCCCAGCACTCAGTAGACTGAGGCAGGAAGATCAAATTTGAAGCCAGGCTAGGCTACAAAATGAGTTCAAGGGCAGCCTGAACTGCATAATGAACCCTGTCTCAAATAGACAAAACACAAAACAAAAAGAAGAACAAAAAAATCACTATGTAACCCAGTCTAGACTCAAACTCATGGTGATCCTCCTGCCTCAGCCTCCTGAGTACTACCACACCAGACACCTTAAGTAGAAAGATTATTGTGGATTATTCAGGTGGACGCTGTGTAAACTCAAGTGTCCTTGTAAATGGAAGAGGGAGACAGGCAAGACAGAGGGAAAGGCTAGCCAGGCATAGTGGCTAATGCCTATAATCCCAACTACCCTGGGGGCTGCAGCAGGACGATTGCAAGTTCAAGGCTAGACTGGGCAATTTAGTGGGACCCTGTCTCAAAGGGCTGGGCATACAGGCGGGTGGTATGGTAGGACACTTGCCTAGCAGGCATGAGGACCTGGGTTCAGTCCTCAGCACCAAATTAAAAGAAAAAAGAAAGGCTGGATGTGGTGGTACATGCCTATAATCCCAGGATTTGGGAGGCTGAGGGAGGAGGAGTGCCTCAAATTTGAGTCCTGCCTAGACTACATAGTGAGTTAGTTAAAGGCTTGGAAACCCTGTCTAAATAAATAAATAAATAAATAAATAAGGGAAACTGCACCATTGGGAAGATGGAAGAAAGATGCCACACTGCTAGCTCTGAAGCTGGAGGAAGGGGTCATGGGCCAAAGAAAAATGTGGGTGGTTCTCTGGAGAAGTTATAAAAAGAGCTTCTCCCCTAGAGTTTCCAGAAAGGAGCACGGCCCTGATGATGCCTTGATTTGAGTGAATCATGCCAGGTTTCTGTCCTACAGACCTGAAGGATGATCAGTTGGCATCGTTTAAACTGTGAGACTTGTGGTTATTTTACAGCACTGTCAGGAAGACCTCAGGTGGGACAGAGGTTCAGCTACATGTCTCATTTTGGGAATCAGTGACTTCTGCCTAAGGATTTAAAACCATAGATGGGAGCTGGGCATGGTGGTACATGCCTGTATAATCCCACCCTCTAATCTGGGAGGCTGAGGCGGGAGGATTGCCGTGAGTTTGAGAATATCCTGGGCTACATAGTGAGTTCGAGGCCAGGCTGAACTACATAGTAAGACGCTGTCTCCAAAAAAAGATCCCAGACGGATACTAATCAGGCCTGGGCCCAAGTAGTGTTGGGGACTCCACCCCTCATTGTGTTGACCTCAGGCTGGTCCTGATTCTTCCTCTGTCCCACCAGTTATGCAGCTAGAGGTGGTTGGGAGCTGAGGACATGAGGCGTTGCTGGCTGGTGCCCAGCACCCGTAGCCAGCAAGGCCCTGGTGCTGAGTTCCTGGAGGTGATGGCACATGTGGACAGCTGAGCCTTAGGGCCTGAGGCCCACAGCCAGAACCACTCCGGGTGACCTTTTTGGACAGGGTGCAGGGCCTGCCGGTGGTCCTGGAGTGATGCCAAGGGGTGGTTGGCCCTTCCTTCTTGGCCCCTGGCTTCTGACCTGTCCTATTGGTCCTCTTTCCCAGGACTGACCAGTGTCCACTTCACTGCCAGGTGTCTGTGCTGAGCCTCTTCGGGTCTGCTTTCCTGTCTGAAGCTGCCCAGGGTCACTGCCCCAGCAGCAGGCTTACAACGTAGGCTGGCCTCATTCCTAGTGACTCCTAGCTCAAGAAGCTGGCATCTCCAGGGGCCACCCCACCCGGGCAGCAAAGTTCATATTGGACCTTCTTTGGGCTCCTGGCTCCTTAATCTCAGGCACTCAAACGCAGTTTATTCCAGGGCTGAGAATAGAAGCCAAGGCCTCATGCATGCTAGGCAAGTGTCCTACCACTGAGCTACACCTTGGCCCTGAAATATAACCATGTAAGTGTTATTAGTATTACCACTACTATTATTACTCTGGTACTGGGGACTACGTTAGATCCTCAGCTCTTGTAAGAAACAAAAGGAGAAAGAAAAACTTGCAGCAAGGATATGCTTTATTTAAGATGAAAGCAATGCTTCCTTACAGAGCAAGGGTTTTACCTAAGAGGTGTTAAAGGGAATGAGGAAGTGAAAGGCCTGCTATTGGGGCTTTGTGTGTGTGGTCACTGGTTCAGCCTGAGTTTGCACAGGTTTCCTGTTGAAGAGACTGCACCCCCTCTTGATCTGGAAGGATTTGTACAGTAAACGGATTTAATGGGCTTTGTAATTACGGACACAGAAGAATGTGGGTTAGGGTCACAACTCATGGGAAAATGCCCACTGGCTTTTCTTTCCAACCCTTTTAATTTTTTTTTTTTTTTTTTAAGTTTTAGAGACAGGGTCTTGCTAAGTTGCTAAATTGCTCAGGCTGGGCTGGAATTTATAACCATTATTATACTTTTCAAAAATAACTTTAAGCCGGGCATGGTGGCGCATGCCTGTAATCCCAGCACTCCAGAGGCTGAGGCAGGAGGATAGTTGGGAGTTCGAGGCCAGCCTGGGCTACAAAGTGAGCTCAAGGTCAGCCTGAACTGCATAGCGAGACCCTGTCTCAAAAAGACAACCCCCCCCCCAAAAAAAACAACTTTAAAACTGGGTGTGATGGTACCTGCCTGTAGTCTCAGCATTTTGCGAGGCAGAAGCAGGAAAATTGCAAATTGGAGCCTAGCCAGGGCAATTCAGCCTATGAAGACCCTGCCTCAAATAAATAATAAAAGGGATAAGGCTGTAGCTTCGTGAGGCCTGTGTTCAATTCCTAGTGCTGTAAAACAATATGTGTATGTAAAGTAAAAATATCTTTAAAATCTTAGCAGTAATAGAAAAATATTAAAATATTTGTACTTAAAAATCCATTCTTGTACTCTGGTAAAGAATTAAAGAAATATAAAGAAAAAAATCATCCCCATTCTTCCATCGTAGGGTGTCACTTGGCTCGCAAATTTTAAACTCCACTCCTGCACCCGCGCCTGCCATCTCCGCCCCTCGCCTCTGGAGCTCCGCGAGGCAGAGACTTCCGGCCCGGGGAGGTCGCCCCACCGGACATACTTGCTCTGGGCACCTGTCATCATCTTCGGGTGGCCAGCGGGACCCGCGGCTTTCGGGGGACTGGGGCGGGATGGGAAGCGCGGTGGGCTGTGGGGGCAGCGAGACGATCTTGGGTTTCTCTGGTTACAAAATACTCAGCAACTTGGAAGCCGCGCCCGGTTCCCCGAGTTCGCCCCGCGCACCGGCAGGCGTCCGCTCGCCTAGGTGCCGGGGAGGCTGCAGGCGGCGCCGCGGAGCCGAGGACACAGTCCCAGAAGTTGACTACGCCGCCACGATGGATGAGGCGCTTGAGGCCGGGGCGGGCCGGGGCGGGCCGGGGCGGTGCTCTGGTGCCCCAGGCGGGGCGGAGGCCCGGGCGGGGCTCGTACGTGTGTATACGAGTGCGTGGGTCCAGCCAGCAGCCCGGACTACAAGTTCCAGGGTGCCCAGCGGCGCGCCCGGTTTTCTGGCTGCGCCGCCCTCCGGCTCCAAGCCGGTTGTCCTGGGCTGGCACGCGCCACCAGGTCCCTGAGTAAATACGGGAGAGAGTCTCCCGAGCACCGTAAATAGAGTGCAAGTGGGCGGGGAACCGCCGTGCGACGCCTGCCCATGTCGCTGCAGGGCCGCGTGTCCCGCCGCCTGGCACAGCTGCGCGTGGCGGGGCAGCTGTTGGTCTCTCGGCGCCCCTGGCCTGGCCCCCCGGCGGGGCCCTCAGGGATCCGCGGCAGCGCGTCCCCAGGCGCGCGGATCTCCGCGGGAGTTAGGGCTTGGGGGGCGGCGGCGGCCGGCCGGACGGCCGGGGTGCGCACCTGGGCCCCTCTGGCCATGGCCGCGAAGGTGGATCTGAGCACCTCCACCGACTGGAAGGAGGCAAAATGTAAGTGGGAGCGCGAGGAGTAAGGGCGGCCCACGTGGGGCTTCCCGGCCGGACAGTACCTCTCGAGCAGCCCCTCCCACTGGAGACCTGGGAAGTTGAGGCCCATCGCCTGCGGTGGACCCCTCCCCCACAACCACGCCCCCTCTGGGTGTCCAGCCACACACACGCATGCACACACCGGCCCCCAGACCAGGTCCAGTCCGCCAGCAGCCTCCCTGTGGAGCGGCCACAGGGCACCCACTGAACTCTGCCCGGGCGGGAAACTGAGGTCCAGAGCCCAACTCACTCCCTCAAGGTCGTTCAGCCAGTTTGGCAGAGCTTGTAAGGTTAGGATCCGGACCTCCCTGTCTGGTTCTTGGCTGGTGGCATTTGAGTGGGATGGCGCAGCATGGACTGAGGGAACAGCTCAGGGACTGGTAGCTCCCCTGGGGAGTCAGAAGGCACCAGAGTAGCCTCCCTGGGCAGGTCTGACCTGCCCTCACCCAACCCCAGTGCGGACCTCGCAGGCACGTGGTCTGGTACTCTTTGATCCTCCCTGCTGGCTTGTGGCCACTTGGGAGCGGTCTTTGCCCTTTCCTGAGGAACAGAGGTTAGAAACTGGGGGACAGGTGGAGATGGGGTGTTTGCCTGTGAAGACCACAGATCTCCACCCTGGTTCCCCAAAGAAGCAAACTACTCTCCCCTTCCCCCTGTGGGCCCACCAGGAGTCCTGGATGGGCCATGAGTCCCGACTGGGAAGGGAGGAGAGGGCACCCGCAGAGCCCCAAATAGCCCTGTCCTTTGCCCAGCTGCTCCTGCCCTTCAGGCCTGCCCCTGGCTCCTGCGACTCCTCTTGGCTGGATCTCCTTTCAGAAGGGCAGCAAAGGCTACCTACTGGACGGGCTGCTGACCGGTGTGACTCAGGGCTGGGCAGGATGAAAGGGAAAGTGGCTTTTTGGGGACTGCGGACAGTAGCAGTAGCAATCAGAATGACTTGTTTCTGTTTTGAGTTGCATTGCTTTCCCTGGGACTCCAAAACACCGTGAGGTGCTCTCTGAGCACAGTGAACCTGTCACCCCTCAGCCCTTGCTGGAGGGGACTGGCAGAGAGCCCTGGCAGGGCAAGTAAGTCACTGTCCCCACAGGGAGCCCTGCATACCATCCTGCTGTCTGTCAGGGAAGGTCCGGCCCCTGGACCCAGCCTCGGGGAGCACTGGGCCTGGGGAAGCTATAGGGCATGGGCTCCCAGGCTGTGATAGACTCGGTTTCTCTCCTGCTGGAGCTGGGATTTCTAGCCATTCATGCAGTGCATTTTTATTGGGTGTCTTCTGTGCAGCCAGCACTATTGTGGTGCTGGCTTACAGCCATGAGCCAGACAGGCCCGCGCTCCCTGGCCTCACGGAGCAGGGGAGGGAACAGTAGAGATGAATTTAGACAGAGGAGATGGTGCCAGGTAACGTCAGTGCCATGAAGAAACCGTGGCAGTGGGGCGTGGTGGCACACGCCTGTGATGAGAATTGCACAGGAGGCTGAGGTAGGTGGGTCCCAAGTTTGAGGGCAGCCTGAGCAATTTAGTGAGACCCTGTCACAACATAAAAAGGCCTGGAGAGGTAGCTCAGTGGTAGAAGCTAAGTGTGAGGCCCTGGGTTTTATCCCTAGCTCCATGGGAAAAAGTAAAAAAATAGAAAAAAGAAAGAAAGAAAGAAAGAAAGAAAGAAAGAAAGAAAGAAAGAAAGAAAGAAAGAAAGAAAGAAAAAGATTGGTCCCTTGGGGTACCTGAGCTGGGAAGGTCTGAGGCCTCTCAGGGGAGGTGGCTTGAACTGAGTCCTAAAGGACAAGCTGTCTGGAGCAGGGTATTCCAGGCCCATTGCTGAATGAAAGCTGGTCACACCCAGGGGACAGTGCTAGGGTATGGGGCGTCCCACCACCACCAATGGCAGACTGTTTGTCCTAGAAACTCATAGATGCCAGCACTCAAGTGCAGCACTTTGCAGCTGGTGTCCGAGGGTGGCCTGTGTGGTCGTCCTCTGTTGCTGTGGGAGAAAGTGCCCCATATCTGGAATTGAGACACTGCCATATGTCGTCTCGGCTGCAGAGGTCAGGAATCTGGGAGTGGTCAGCATAGCGCTTCTGGCTCAGGTCCCTGTGAGGTTGGCAGGGGCTCCATGCGGCCGGAGGATCTGCTGTCCCTACCCACAGGAGCACAGGATGCAGGCACCGGGGCTGGGAGAACAAGCTGCAAGCCGTGGTGCCTTCAGAGTTCCTCTCTGCCTCTTCTGCTTTATGCTAAGTCTGAGAATTGAGCCAGGAACCTGGCCCGCACCCCAGGAAAGGGAAAGTGGGCTCCCCTTTTGTGAGTTTTTTTTGGGGGGTTGCTGGGGACTGGACCCAGAAAGAGCCTCCTTTTACCAGTGTTCGCTGGAGGTCGTCAGTCTTCTCACTGGTCTGTTTTGTCTCCTCCTGCTCCGCCTTCTCTTCTTTTTTTTTTAGTACTGGGGATTGAACTCAGGGTCTTCACACTGTGTGACATCTCCAGCCCTTTCTTATTTCTTATTTTGAGACAGGGTCTCTTCAAGTCATTAAGTTGCTCAAGCCAGGCTGGAACTTGTGAGGCTCCTGCCTCAGCCTTCCAGAGTGCTGGGATTATAGGCCTGCACCATCACGGCTGGCTGAGATGTTCGGTCTCACTGGCAAAATCCTACAGTATCTGATTTCATTGGCCAGCTGTGCATTTTGCCAATTTAATCGCAGTAAATTTTGATGGGGAGGCCTGACCCCAGAATCGGCTTCCAGCAGCTCACGGGCATCCTGTCTCCTTGTCCCCTATGGCACCTTCTCAGCTGTGAAGGCAGCTGGACATGAGGGGACTTATGATGAGACTTCTGCAGCTTCTGGGGCCTGGTAAGGCCCTTTGTCCCAGCCCACGCTGGGAGCAGAGCTGTGCACTCAAAAGAGAAGGGGCCTTGCTGTCTTCAGGCCTGGGCAGGCCCCAGTGCTGGGGCTTCCATGCTGTCCAAGCCTCATCTTCCTCATCTGTAAAATGGGACAGTGGTACCTGCTTGGAGTCAGTGTTGGGACCACATGAGATGGGATGGTCAGCAGGAAGTGGTGGTGCCTGTCTGTGATCCCAGGACTCTGGGAGGCCGAGGCAAGAGGATCCTAAGTTCAGGTCCAGTCTGCGTCACTTAGCAATTTATGGAGATCGTGGCACCTAAATAAAAGGGCTGAGGATGTAGCTCAGTGTGGCCCAAAGAGAGTGACAGCTTATATAGGGTCCTAGTGGCCCCCTTTCCTTGTCTCCTCTGGTGCTCCTCTCTTGGCTTTGCTCTGTGATGGGCACGGTGATGCTGGGACCTCTCAGCTGTCAGTGCTGGAGCTGCCCCGGCACATTCTGGGCCGTGTGTCCCCTCCGTGGTGGCACATGGTAAAACAAGGAGCAGGGGCCTGGGCTGATTTCAGGCCCTGGGGGGCTGATGTAACTGTCAAGCTGGCACATTTTCCAGGCCCATCTGGAGTTAGGGGCATAGGGTCCTCCCACCTGTTGGGGGGACGCAGCCTTGGCTTGTGCCAGTGCGGGTGGAAGCAAGGGGCACAGCCCCCGGGGTGCCTTGTGCTCTGTCCCTCCCTTGCTGTGCCATGGGCTTTGTCGAGCCCCTGCCCCCAGGGCACGGTGACCACAGGATCAGTGCCCCTGCCTCCAAGTCCAGACACTGCACCATGCTCTGGCGCCCGGCGCTCTCAGCCCTGCCCACTACCATTTCCAGAAACGGAGCCCTCTCGGCGCCCCGGCCTGCCCCTGCCTCCCTGAACACCAGCTTTCGAAGTGCCATAAAGACACTCCTTAAAACACATCATTGAATTCCCGTTTGCCCGGTGTACTTTATGGCCCTGGCGGAGCCGCTTCCTCCTGCTCGGCTCCGGTGCCCGTGAGCTGCTGGAAGCCGATTCTGGGGTCAGGCCTCCCCATCAAAATTTACTGCGAACATCTTTTTACAACACCTGTCTCAGTGAGCTGTAAAATACTTTCGCCTCTGCAAAAATGAAAGAAAATGAAAATGCATGTTTTACATCTTTGATAAAAAAATAAAACTCACTTGTGTTTTAATTCTGCATCTGCCCCAGCAGGAGGGGGTGAACAGTGCTGGAGATGCGTGGGGTGCATGGCCAGCCTCGGAGGGAGGGGGCAGCCTGTGGTGTGCGGGTGATGTCAGGGCAGAGGAGAGGCACAGTTGCCTTTTTCCTCCCCAGTACATGAAGGACCAGTGTGTGGTGGCAGTAATTCCAGGGGTCGCCAGGCAACAACCTTGTTCTTGAGATGGAGACGCTGCTTGGCACGCTGGCTTTTGAGATGCACTTGGGACCCTCAGACTGGCAGAGACAAGATGACTGATATCCCCAAGGTTGGCACCCAGCAGGTTGGTGGCAGAGCCAGGATCCTGTCTCCAGGAAGCAGTGCTGTCTCTAGGACTTGAGTGAAAAGGAGGGTCACCCAGACCAGGTCACTGTGATTGGGGGTCAACTTGCCAGGTGTCCCTTATGTGCTTGCGATCAGGGGCACACACAAGGTGCTGCCGCCTTGGAGTTGAATTTGCTGAAAGGCCTGGGGTGTCTCTGGTATCTTAGGGTGTTCAGGGCCACCCCAGCCCCAGTGTCTGCATGTGTGCACGGCTGTGGTTGGTCTGTGGCCAAGTGACAGGCTGTCAGCTGTTGCCACAGGAGACTTGGCTTTCTGGCCTGAGTCTGGCTGGCTGGCAGTGCCCACACTCAGCAGTACCAAGGCCGGGGGCTCTTCAGGCATGGCTGCAAGGTGACCAGTATGGGGACCCAGATAATTTTGAAAGCTAATCCACTTCCTGAGTGCTCCAGCTGGACAAAAAGTCTCCTCTGCACTTGTGTCTTGTCTGGCCTGGTGCTGCTTGGGTCTTTGCTCACGGTCTCGGGTGAGTGGTAGTTGTGTGTCAGGCCGGCCCCTCCTTTCTGACCCCAGTGCAGGCCAGCCTTGTCCCCATGGGTGAAGAAACCGAGGCTCAGGAAGGGCAACCTGCCCTTGAGCGTGATGCTGGTGGTCAGGAGCTCACAGTGTGCGGGACCCGCTGTGCAGGAAGAGTAACAGCGCCAGTTCATCCGACACCCTGGGCTGTGCTGTGTGGCTCAGCCTGTCTAGCTTCCTCCTATTTCTCCGCCCCACGCTCCCCTTTCCTCAGGGCATTGGCACAGGCCAGTCCCCCGCCTGGAAAAGCCATCTCTTCGCAAACTCCCCCTCAGCCTGTGGCTCTCAGCTCGTTCATTTAATGGTTCATCCCACAGCCACCCGCGGTGCCCGTGCATGCTGTGTGTGCACTGCGCCCTTGGTGGGACCTCAGCCCAGGCAGGCTGGATCCGCATGTGAACTTAGGAGCCCAGATGGCCACGGTCAAGGAGTTCGGGCGAACAAGGGCACTCGCAGGAGGCAGAGAGGGGTTGGTCCAGAGGGACACTAGCAGAAGAGTAGCAGCCAGGCAAGAGGCACAGCAGGTACAAAGGTGCCAGGCAGGAAAACACCTGATTCTTTGAGAAATAGAATGGTTCATGGCCAGGTGGGTGGGTGGGGTGCAGTGTGGGGCAGGCTGAGGAGGGAAATGGGGTCTGTCACAGGGGCCAGCTCACCGGGTGTGTTAAGGCTCTGCCTGCAGTGTGAGCTGAGCTTTGTGGGGAGGGGGAGCTCTGTGAGGAATGGGAGAGGGGTGAGGAGACTTGGGGGCTAGCTGGGACCTGGCTTCTGTAGGTGTCCAGTGAGTGATGAGGGCAGCTTGGTGCTGAGGAAGGGAGGAAGGGAGGAAGGCTTGGCTTCTGGGTGTGGTGAGGATGACTAACGGGCCAGCAGCTAGGTGGGATGCGGGGTATGAGGAAGGAAGAGAAGGGACCCCTGCCTTGGGGCCCGGGGTAAGAAAGGGAGGAGGGGACAAGTGAGAACACCATGTTTTGGAGGAAGGAGTCAAAATTCCACTTTGCACATACACACGTGGGCTTTGAGGAATGAGGGCAGGGGCCGTGGGGAGTGGCTGGAAGAGAGGAGGGGCTGGAGCTTCCTAAAGCAGGTTTGAATCCTGAAGGAGGAGGCGAGGCAGCGGGAGACCCCTGTCCACACGGAGGCTGCAGCCCTCTGACCTTGACCTTGATGGAGGAGGAGCCCAGGGGAGCCTGGGAGGGAGGACGCAGAGGGGCTCACAAACTGCGGGGGAGCGAGGGGCAAGGGCCATGAGTGTTTGAGGACCAGGACAGCGGGGGCCGGGGGAAGGACGGGGGTCGGTGGTCCTTCATGCCTGGCGACCGGAGGAGGGAGGGGATGAGGCGTGGCAGATGGTGGCATTCCTGGTTCCTGCTTGTTGGGGGAGGTGGCAGCATGCTGGAGGAGCAGTGGGGAGGGAAGGGGCCCATGTCCAAAGCAGCAACTGCAGCCTCCAGCAGGAGAGCAAGAATCTGGGGGGAGATTCTGCTTGGTGGGGATGGGGTCTCCTCCAGAGACGTGGAGCTCCCTGGACAGACCAGAGCGGCTGGGGTTACCTCCTCCAGGGTGCTTTCCTGGGCTCCCCTCCCCTGGAACTCGCCTGCCTTTCACCCGAGACTGTACGCAGGGTAGATGCAGTAGATGCTTGATGAATTAACTGACAGCCTGGCCAGTCTCTACAGTGTGGTCGTTGCCCTTGGAGGTGTCACTGATCAGCGCGGCCCTGGGCTTCTGTACGCTAAGCTGGGGATGTAGGTGGCAGCTTTCCATATCCTTGTTCCTTTGTTTTTTGGGGAGGAGAATTTTTTTTTGTTGTTTTTTGCTTTTTTGAGACAGGGTCTCTCTATGTAGTCCAAGCTGACCTCAAACTCACTGAGATCTTCCTGCCTCGGTCTCCCAAGTGATGGGTTTACAGGTGTGCGCTGCCGCGCTTGGCTTTTTGTTTTGAGAACTGGCCTGCTGTGCAGCCCGAGCTGGCCTCAAATTCTTGGGCTCAATCAGTCCTGCCTCAGCCTCCTAAGTGCCAAAACTACAGCTGTGTGCCACTGCCTCTGTGTCTCACACCGCGGAGGCTTGGAGGGTTCTTCAGCACCTTTCAAATCCAAGCAGCCCTCCCACCCCCAGCCTGTCGGGTTCTGCATCATGTGCCTGGGGGTGGAGGCAGGGCTGTGAGCAGCGAGGGACACTGAGATGGAGGGCATAGTAATGCCCTTGGGTCCTTAGACGGAATGGAGGTGGCACACATACATGGGGGACATCCTTAGCCAGTACCTGGTGCCAGCATTTTTGATCTAATTATGGTGCTGCTGGGACGAAGAGGATCCTTGACAGGCCTTTGAGGCTTCACTGTGGGTCATCCCCAACCATCCACTTCTTAACATCCCTTCTGGGAACAGCCTTCTGGCCCTGGCTACCTCCCTGTCCTCTCCCATGCCTCCTCGTGCCTCCCAGGATTCCACTTACCTCCTCTCCCAGCCCCAGAATATCTCTTTCTTGGCCTGTCTCAGCATTTGAGTAGCTAGACTATGTGATGCTTGGATCAGGCTCAGTGTCCCTGACTGGACTTTATTTTATTTATTTATTTATTTATTTATTTATTTATTTTTAGAAAGAGTCTTGCTATGTAGTCCAGGCTGGCCCTGAACTCACTATGTAGCCCAGGCTAGCTTTGAACTTTTGGTGATCCTGCCTCAGCCTCCTGAGTGCTGGGATTATAGGCACACATCCAGTTTAAATTGGGCTTTAGGTTCACAAGGGCCAGGACCTTGTTTACACCATATAAACAAGTGGCCCCATGTGTAGAACGTGTGTGTTGTACATGCCCAATAAATGTAGTGGGAGGGGTGAGAAGTGGAAGACACACCTCATGGTCCAGGCTTGAGTTGCAGTTAGGTAGTTAGTGGTGCTGTGTGCTTCCTGGGTGTAGCCCTTCTGCACTCACCACCTCCTTTGATTGTGCTCCCTCTCTTAGCTGTTTTCTGATGCTTTTTGAGTTCCTTGATGCGGTGGGGCCTTTGCTGTGTGCACCTACCACCCTCGCTGTCCTGGGGAGCCCCCAGCGGCTGAGCCTCGGTGCGCAGGCAGTCATGGGTCAGCAGGGGGAGCCCGCGAGCTGCCAGTTTGCCCGGCGGAGGAGCCCCAGGGCTTGGGTTTGTGTCTCCTTTTGGCCAAAGGGATGGGAGAGGTGGGGCGCTGTAGGGGAGACTCCTACCAGTCCCAGAGTCCCTGAGCTGGTAGCCCTGGCCACACTCATCAGCTCCGTGACTAAGGGCAGCCTCCTTGCCTCCCTGAGCCCTGCTGCCTCTGCGCTCATAAAAGGGGGGCATTTCCAGGCTGGCAACCATCGTGGAGACCTCAGCTGTTAGCGCAAGGGTGTCGACACCAGGCACCAGATCTGCTTGCTTCTGTAGTTTTGTGTTTTGTTTTGTTTTCCTTTGCTTTGTATTTCTGCTGTACTAGGGGTGGAACCCAATGCTTTCCCACTGAACTGCATCCCCAACTCTTTTTTAAAAAGTTTTTTTATTTTTTAAATTTTTTTTTTTTTGGAGACAGGGTCTCCCTATGCAGTTCAGGCTGGCCTTGAGCTCACTTTGTAGCCCAGGTTGGTCTCGAACTTGCAACGATCCTCCTGTCTCAGCCTCCCGAGTGCTGGGATTACAGGAGTGTGCCACTACACCCGGTAAAAAAGTTTTTAAGACAGGATTTCTCTAAATTGCTAAATTACCCAGGTTAGGTTGGAACTTGAGATCCTCCTGCTTCAGCCTTGTAGAGTGCTGGGATTACAGGTGTGTGCCCCCATACCCGGTTTATAGTTCTTCAAAGGCAGTTAGTTGTCCTGTCCTCAGATCATGTTGATGATGTGACTGGTTGATAATATGCCACCCAGCTTCTTGGCTTAGCACGCATGAGTCTGAAGTTATTCTGCTAGGGGAGTCTTAATCTCCCTTCTATGTATTTTGGCCGCTCGGGCTCCTCTTCCCTCGAAGAAACTAGATGAAGAAACTAGGGACCTACAGAGATGGCGATACAGCTGCGAAGAGGCCAGGTTGAATTCTGAGCCAGAGTCTGGTGTCTGAGCAGTCCCTCCACCACCCCCGACCTCAGTTTCCCTTTTAAACGAAGAGAGCAGGACAAACTGTTCAGGGGCTGCTTGGATCCTAACAGCAGCGATATGCTCCTCCCCTTCCTCGTCCCCTCCCCACAGGATGGTGTAAGGATGGGTGGGGGCTGGGGTCCATCCCTGGAGTAGGCAAGGGTCCCATGGGGAGGGGAGTCCTGGGGGTGGAAGTGACTGCACCGTGCCATCCCTACCCACTCTGACGCTCCTTTCTGCCTGCCCACCCTGCTCTGCAGCCTTCCTGAAGGGCCTGAGTGACAAGCAGAGGGAGGAACATTATTTCTGCCAGGACTTCGTCAGGCTGAAGAAGATCCCAACATGGAAGGAGATGGCAAAAGGTAGGCCCTGCTCCTGCCAGGCCCTGGCTGGCTCTTCGGTGGGCAGCTCCTTTGGACCCCAGCTTGGGAGAGTTGTACAGCTAGGAAGACCCCAGTGCTTGCTGTGTGGGGTCCCTCTGCAGGGGCTGCCTCATTTAATTATTCACACAGTCCAAAGCCAGTGCAGTTTTTATTACCAAGACACCTGTTAGGAAAGAGGCCTTGGGCCACAGAAGGTACCTGCCCGTGATGCCTGGGTTGTCTTGAGCTGGGCTTTGAAGCTGCGGGGGTCGGGGGGATGCTACATAGGCATGCCTGGTAACCAGCAACCTGGGCAAGTCGCTTACTTCACCCAGCCTCAGTTTCTGCATCTGGAAGGTGGGGATGGATGACATTACCGTCGCACCGGCCCCTAGCCGTGTTGGAGGCCTCAGTGGCATGCAGCAGGTCCTTCCTCATGTGCCAACTGTGTCAAGGTGGGGTTGGGCGGGCCTGTGGGCCCTGACGGGGTCCTTCTGCGGTGGGGGCTGCCCTGTGACTCCCAGGCACTGTCTGTTCCAGGGGTGTCTGTGAAGGCAGAGGACCCCAAGTACAAGAAGGATAAGCATCTGAATGAGAAGATCTCGCTGTTCCGCGGCGATATCACCAAGTTGGAGGTGGATGCCATTGTCAACGCCGGTGAGTAGCCGGCCTGGGCCAGAGACTCGGGTGGCCTCCCCATTGGCTTGGCTCTGGTCTGCCGTGCCAGGCGTGGGTGGGCGCCACCTGGCTCCAGAGTGGCTCAGGCTGTCAGGCGAGGATGGCCTGCTGGCGCCGCAGGAGCCCAGTATGTCGGCTGCTCGGCCTCCTTTTCCCTCGAAGCCCTGACCCACGGTGTCAGGGCGCCTGGCTCAGCTGAGCTGCCTCACAGCTCTGAGAGCCATTAGCGGCGGCAGGAGAAGGGAGAGAGCGTGGCTGGAAGCGGACCGGGCTCCCTGCCAGGAAGGTGGAGGGCAAACCCTGGGAGGTCCCACCTGGGGGATACGGTGGCTGCTTTCCTTTCTCTAAGCCCTGCTGCACCCGGGCAGGTGAGGGGCGTGCGGAGGGAAGGATGGGCGCAGAGAGGGCCCCTGCCGCCCCCTGGCAGCTCTCCAGCAGCGCTGGAGACGGAGATGCTCGGCTTCCTGTGCATCGGCCCGCCTCTTGCTGGCTTGGCAGTTTATTGTGATGAGTGCAGAGTCGGAGGCGGCCGCTTCTTTGGGGGAGGGAGAGAAGAGGCTGCTGCTCCCCTCAGGCGGTGATGGCTGTCTGGCTGGGGTCGACAGGCCCTAGGGGAGCCTCTGGAGTACTCAGGAGCGGAATGTCAAGGGCTGGTCAAGTCTGGCAGGCATGCAAGTGCTTGTGGATTGAGGTCAAGTGCAGAGAGGTCTGGGTCAGCTGGCTTGCTCGCTCCAGCGCCCCTCTCCCCGGCATCTGAGGAGGGGTCCCTCTCCCTCAGGACCCCTCCCCCCATCGTGGAATGCCCTCTTGTCTTGGCTCCAGCTCAGAGGGAGAATGCTGCCATACCTGCCTCTCTGCACTTTTGCAGGCCTGGGTCCCCACAAGAGCTTCTGGAATTTCCTTCTGTCTCTCTCGACTTTAGGTTGGCAGTGGCTGTATGTGACCACATGTTGGCAAGGGCACCGTTCCTGGTGGTGCCTCTGGGACATGGTGGTGCAATGCTGTCAATGCTCCTTGGTCTCCCTAAGGACTGGGCTTGCAGGATGTGGGTGAAGGTGGCCACTCGCCCTGTCTCGGTCCTCCTGCTTGTGGTCTGGAAGTTGTCTCTGGCAGTGGCATTGCTCTGCATGTCTGCCCATGCTGGTGCTGGCAGGACTGTAGTCCCATGGGCTGTGCCCTTGCCCTCATGTTGCCTGTCACAGATACACAGGGAGCAAGTCACCTGCAGACAGGAGTTCCCACGGGGGTGGCTGGCGGGGAGGAGCAGGGGATCACCTTTGCGGTTCTCCTGGTGATTCTGCCGTGGCCCTTAGGCTACTGGCACAGGTGGGGGGCAGCAAGGTCTGTGAGTCCATCTGGGAGCTGCAGAGCTTGGACAGCCACATCTCGGTTGGCAGACGCCGTGGTGGCCCGGGGGAGAAGGACATTCTTGCTGCCTGTCTGTGTGATGTTGGCTGGGCTGGCTGAGGGGACGGCCACAAAGACCCATGAGAGTCGCCCGGTGCGTGACTGCATGGCCTCAGGCACGGGTGAAGAGCAGGGAGGTGTCCCCTTGATACTTCTGCTGGGCACAGAGTGGCCAGGGGGAAAAGAGACCGTCTTGGCAGCTCCTTCCCGGCCTGGTTGGTGGCTGGCTTTGGCATGGGCCGTGTTGCGGAGACAGGGACCAAGGCATGCGGGTGGCACAGGGTACAGATGGAGCAGAACAGGGCCTCCGAGGCTGCGGCATGGTTACTGGCTTCTACATGCCTGCAACGGGTCAGATGGGTGTGGTGGCTCTGTCAGCTTCTCACTCCGAGAAGCTCTCCAGTGCTGGCTGCATCTGGAGGCGCCGGTGCTGG